TGGTCGGTATTGTGTAAGCAGTTCCTTTAATGGGTAATATATTCCTCTACCCTATTTGCCACATACACCAGTTATAATTACTCTTCTTTACTAAAGAAATTGTGACAGGCAATAATAAAGGAAAATGTTACAATGCTCCAGAGTTGACTTAAAATTATTAATATTATCATACTTTATCCAAAAAAAAACCATACATACATACAGACAATCACACTAAAAAATGTTTGAAATCCTTCAAGAGCTTCATGTGAAGAACACTCGAGAAGCAATTATCCTACTCCACATTTATAGATTGGGCTTTTAATGTGCGTCAGTTCATGTCAGTTTGAGTCTCTGCATGTTTGTCTTGGAACCTCTGGGGCTGACAGGGAGGTTAATCCACTATTCAACCCCAGTCAGAGTTTCTATCCTCTGGGGTGCACAGAGAGCAGCGATGGCCCCTGTCACCTCCACATCTCTGGGACAAGAACCCTCGCCCCGCTTCCACAATGCACCACAAAAGAGCTTATCGTCCCTGGGCATCAAGCAATGCTGACGGGGATTGGAAGGAATGGATGTTTGCACTGCTGGGTGCCAATAAGAGTGACACAAACGCACACACATATGAGTAGGTAAGGGTACACTGCTGACATATGGCAAGATAAAAGGGTGGGACTGCACATGCACGCTGTTTCACAAACATACACGCAGGACCACATGCACATTGTTAAGCATGCATACACACTGACAGACAAAGCCATGCTAGGAGCACTGGATGCTATCTGTTGGAAGGAAATTAGTTTTCTCCCATTTCGAACCTCAGTCTGGTGTCAGTGAGAGTGTGTGTCTATGTGCCCTCAAGCGTATGTGTGTGAGGGTTTTGAGAAGTCTTTTGTGTGTTTTCACAGAGGTCATTGATTCAGAATATTTCTTATTGATTCAGTGTCATAGTTAAATATTTTAGTTTTTCTCTGCCTCAACAGATATGATTTGGTTTTATTCATTTTTGAATTGTCATGGCCTAGCAGTAGCTACAGTGAATAAGTATTCAATTACACACAATAATTCCCTCTCACTGTCTTTTAGTGTTTTATTCATACATTTTAGAGACTTTAGAGAGCTAACATCTCTTTTAATCTTTCACTCACTCACTCTCCCGGTCCCTCCCTGCCTCCCTCTCTCCGTCTGTCTGTGATAAATGTAGCTAGTCAATGAGTGGGTTGTAAGGGTGACCTGGCCAGAGGACCTATGTGTTTATGTGTGTCTGTATGTTTAGAATTTACGTGTGTATGACTAATTTAATGGATAGCATGCCACTATGGTCAAGGACCCCCTTACACGCATACAAAAACACACACATACAAAAACACACATACACATACACACACTGTATACACACACAGAGTTGAGAGTGGGCAGCGAATGACTGATTTACAGGACAAACCAGTGACTATTGACTACATGTACTGTAACCTGAAAAATGACTCTGTGTGTGTGTGTGTGTGTGTGTGTGTGTGTGTGTCACTCAGACTAGCCTTAATCAATCACTCACTACAGACCCTGAACTTTGGACACGACTGGAGGAAATAAATCTACTGACATGAAGTGGAAGAGAGGCAGGGAGGAGAAAATATGATAGAGTGTAGAGATGATATCTTTTTTTAAGATGAAGATGCTTTTTCATGTCACTTTGAATATCTCACTAATGTTGAATAACATTGAACATATTTTCTTCTGGTTCAACTTATTAATGTATTCGATTTATTTTGAGTTGAATTTTAAGTACTGATGCACTTTTTGCATGAATTTCTTCATTTTTGATCCCTCTTCACAGTAACTATCTGAAAAAGTCCCCTTGAATAAACAGAGAGAAGGTTCAGTGTCAGTGATGCAACCATAAGTGTTGCAGCTATCACTAATCTGGTTAATCCTACTACAATATGTTAAAAAATCAATTAATCTACTAAATATTATATTTTAGGGGCAACACTTTTATGTACATGTAAATGTAATATAATTGAATGATCTTTATGATTTCTAGCATTTGTGTGTGTGTGTGTGTGTGTGTGTGTGTGTGCAAGAGAGAGACAGAGAGAGAAAGTATATCTGATTATCATATTAATATTAACCAGATACTGCATGATGAAACATCACTGAAATAAGAGAAACTGATTTTCAAGAAATTAAGTAAATATACCATTCAAAATACTAAATAACCATATTGGAGTGCGTGCTGGGAGGAGTTGATTAAATACAGCCATGGCTGTTAAATGGATCAGATGTGGCATGAATCCCATAACTTACAATTTCACGTATCTAGTACGTTTGAGTGCCACAGTGAGTAGTTCCCCATTCTAGTATCCTCATTCAGCTTTTTTTAAATCTTTGTGTGAATGTAACGCATATTAGTAAAATACAGTACAGTATCATCTGCATATAGATATATTCTAAATTTCGACAGGTCAAATGAAAACAGATTAAGAATAATAAAGTTAACACAAGTATGCCGTTATCAATAATACACAACACTTATGATTACTTCACAATATTAAAGATTAAGTGTGTGTCATTAAGGTGGCTCTATTGACAGAAATGTAATATAATATTGACAGGTATGTACGTAATAGATTCAGCTGATTTTATCTACACACACTGCAGGTCACCTTTCATGGGGTCCACCATGTTGAACCAGCATGTTTCTACAGTAGCCCACAACGGACAAACCAAACACTGGCTGTAGATAGGGCCTTTCATATTTCGCAAACCATTCTGCAATGCTCGATGCCACTAAATCCTACACACTTGTCCTTTAAATTGTTTTTGAGTAAGTAAAATATTGCTCGACAGTTTGACCAAAAACAAAAATCCAAATGATTACAAAATATTGTGATTAATTGCTTAAAATTTTTTGCACATTGAATATAGTGTACATATTTTTCATTTATAGCTTTATATTATCTATTATATTTTGTAATATTCTTATTTGTGATACTATTGTATGTACTCTTTTTATTGCACTATATTCCTCAATGCTGCTGTGTGTAATTTGAATTTCTCCTACGGTGATTAATAAAGGTATATTTTATCTTATGCACTATTTACTTGCGCAATAAATAAAAAAGAAATAAGGCTGCAGTCGCATGACATGTGTAGACCACACCATGAAAAATGTATGTAGATTATATCAGATAATATTATTACATTATTACTATTATAATAATATTGGCATATAGATGTGTTCAGGGTGGGACTCTTATTAGAAATGTGAAGTTTGGTTGAGATTGGACCATGTACAGTGAAATTATGACAACTTCCTGTTTCATGGCGAAATGGTGAAATTTGATGCCAAGCAATGGACACACCGTTCGATGCACAGTCACACAAATAGCACAACTTTGAATTGTGATGGTCTTTAGATTGCCCTGACCAAATTTAAAGGCAATCCTATAAATTCCCTAGGAGTAGTTTGTTCAAACACAACATAACTCATTGTTATGAGTCATAGTTATGTCTACTCCTGAATGCTTGCTATGGTAAAGTTTAGCCATGAGCAAAAACATCCATTTTGGCGTCTTCCCAGTTTTGTCATTTTTTGAACCATTATGTTTTATTTTGTCCTGTCTGTGCAAAATTAACTGTTTTGTGTCACCAATACACTGATCAAGGACAAACGACACAAGAATAGGTTAAAAACCAAATAGTTTATCATTTATAAATTGCTAATTGTGATGCCTATATTTAAGACAAATGGTCATTAATAAAAATTCTGTTTCACTACATTGCAGTTTGCACAATAAAAAATACTTACATTCTGCACACATGACTACATAAAAAAGTTTTTATATTCTATATACTCCTGGCAGTAGAATAAACCTCTATACTCCTAAGGCCCAGTCATGCAAAAGAAAATACTGTGAAACTGCCAGAATCTTAAAAAATACTGTGATATAAATTTTTGGTCATACCGCCCAGCACTACTATGAGTGGGAAGACAGGCAGAGAAAAGATTATGAAGAAAGGCAGTAGGCAGAGGGGTTCTATTGGTGTACGTGTAGAAAGCTACTTGCCTCACGGGAAAGAGAGACGGATGGAAAGAAACTAAATGGCCAGGAAATTGACACAGTTACTATTCTCCCCATGGAGAAGAGTCCGGAAGGAAGAGAGGAAGGGAGGGAGGGAAGAAAAGGAAAAGATGGATAGAGGAACATAGGGAGAGACTGGAGGAATATGAGGTTCAGAGCATTTTGGTTTGTGGGGTCAGGCCTTGGGTCAGTATCAACTCAATAAAATCCACACAAACAAAGTAAAACACAGATACACACACATTCACACACAACCACAGATGTACACACTTTCTCTAGCTCACAGACAAACACGCCCAGTGGTCTCTCGGTACTGCTACTTTGGTGGTTAGGGACTGGTTGCTACACATACTGACACAAGCTGAGGGAAAATAAACAGGCTTTAACTTACAGACTTTAATACTCAGGCTCCTATCCCCATTCATTCTCATAGAGAAAAGAAGTAAATTGGCACCCAATTCTGTTTTCCATTTAAATAATTTGGTGAGTGGGTGACACCAACTGAGATTAAGTTGCTCAACAATAAATATCCAAGTATATCTATAATACATTAATATTTTGTAAGGTGTTTTATACAGTATATTCAGCGCCGTCGTATAGGGGGAAAGATGATGACAATTCTAAGGGCCCACAGCCCATTAGGGCCCACACACAGCCCCCAGTAGACTCTATGACTAAATTATTATGCATAGACTTAACTAATATATTCATACTAATGAATCTGAGCTAAAACAAAACCACAAAGTC